TCTCTCTCTGTCTCTCTCTCTCTCTGTCTCTCTCTCTGTCTCTCTCTCTCTCTGTCTCTCTCTCTGTCTCTCTCTCTCTCTCTGTCTCTGTCTCTCTCTGTCTCTCTCTCTGTCTCTCTCTCTGTCTCTCTCTGTCTCTGTCTCTCTCTCACACCTGATCCTGTGTGAAGCTAAGGCCCTGTTTACACGGAGACGCTGCACAGACGTTTCCAAGCTACTAACAGAAAAGACCAGGCTCCTAATGCTAATTTCACAGCGTTCATACAAGGATGAAGAACGTTGTAGTTCTAGCGCCCGGCCAGTAGGGGGCAGAGGAACTGTAGCGTTTTACTGCTGCAGCGTCTCCGTATAAACAGGACCTAACACTGTAGCAACAAATTACCATATAAGTACATTTTCTCCAGCTAGCTTCTGTTCAATCCAGCTTCTTCCACATTAGGCTACCTTTAGTGTGATGTCACAGTCTACTGCTCATATATGCTCTGACCATAACCAGGACCAGGACGTGGACCATGTGTGTAATGTCCTGGTCCTTGTGCTTCAGGCGTTTTGTGTGGAACTTCTTCCGTCTGGAGAACGAGCATCTGAACAACTGTGGAGAGTTCAGGGCGGTGCGTGACATCAGCGTGGCGCCTCTGAACGCCGACGACCAGACGCTGCTGGAGCAGATGATGGACCAGGAGGACGGAGTGAGGAACCGCCAGGGCAAGAAGAGCTGGAAGAGGAGCTACAGCATGAGCCTGCGCCGGCCCCGCCTGGCCTCCCAGTACGGCTCACACTTAAGGAGCATTAGCATGTTAGCATTAGCATGTCTACACACGCTAATGCTAACAGACAGTATACACATGCTAATGCTAACAGACAGTATACAGATGGACAATGCTAACTCTGACTCTCTCTCTCTCTCTCTCGCTGTCTCTGTGACTCTCTGTGACTCTCTCTCTCTCTGACTCTCTCTCGCTCTCTCTGACTCTCTCTCTCTCTCTCTGTGACTCTCTCTCTGACTCTCTCTCTGTCTCTCTCTCTCTCTGACTTTCTGACTCTGTCTCTCTCTGACTCTCTCTCTCTGTGACTCTCTCTCTGTGTCTCTCTCTGACTCTCTCTCTCTGTCTCTCTCTGACTCTCTCTCTCTGTGACTCTCTCTGACTCTCTCTCTCTGTGACTCTCTCTGTGATTCTCTCTCTCTCTGTCTCTCTCTGACTCTCTCTCTCTGTGACTCTCTCCCTGTGTCTCTCTCGTGCAGGTCTAAGACTCGTGACACCAAAGTCCTGATTGACGACACAGACGATGACTCCTGACATCAGGCCACGCCCCTCGCCTGGGTCCAGAACCTCTTCAAAGGAGGTGCTGCGTCCACGTCGTCCTAACGGCGTCTCCTCAGGCGAGCTGGGCGTCTCCTCAGCCTCCTCTACCATTCTGCAACATCTGGTCCAGAGTCCAAGACCAGAGACCGAGACCAGAGACCAGAGACCGAGACCAGAGACCAGAGTCCTCCTGAAGCTCCACTGAAGGCCGAGACCAGGAGCAGGACTCTCCGCAGAGGACCGAGGCTTTTGTTTTGTTTTTAAACTCTGTGCCACTTGTACAATAGAAGAAACTGGACTCAAACCAGGAGAACGTGGCCCCACATGGTCACGGCAACAACTGGTATCAAAACCATCACTGCTATAGGTCACAGCTCACCACACCATCAACAACTATTCAGTTTATACACATGATATACCAGAGAGAGACCAGTGAGAGAGACCAGAGAGAGAGACCAGAGAGAGAGACCAGTGAGAGAGACCAGAGAGAGAGACCAGAGAGAGACCAGATAGAGAGACCAGAGAGAGACCAGAGAGAGAGACCAGAGAGAGACCAGAGAGAGAGACCAGAGAGAGAGACCAGTGAGAGAGACCAGAGAGAGAGACCAGAGAGAGAGACCAGAGAGAGAGACCAGAGAGAGAGACCAGAGAGAGAGACCAGAGAGGGAGACCAGAGAGAGACCAGAGAGAGACCAGAGAGAGACCAGAGAGAGAGACCAGAGAGAGAGACCAGAGAGGGAGACCAGAGAGAGACCAGAGAGAGAGACCAGAGAGAGAGACCAGAGAGAGAGACCAGAGAGAGAAACCAGAGCGAGAAACCAGAGAGAGAAACCAGAGAGAGAGACCAGAGAGAGAGACCAGAGAGAGAAACCAGAGAGAGAAACCAGAGAGAGAGACCAGAGAGAGAGACCAGAGAGAGAGACCAGAGAGAGACCAGAGAGAGAGACCAGAGAGAGAGACCAGAGAGAGAGACCAGAGAGAGAGACCAGAGAGAGAGACCAGAGAGGGACCAGAGAGAGAGACCAGAGAGAGAGACCAGAGAGAGAGACCAGAGAGGGAGACCAGAGAGAGACCAGAGAGAGACCAGAGAGAGACCAGAGAGAGAGACCAGAGAGAGAGACCAGAGAGAGAGACCAGAGAGGGAGACCAGAGAGAGACCAGAGAGAGAGACCAGAGAGAGAGACCAGAGAGAGAGACCAGAGAGAGAAACCAGAGAGAGAGACCAGAGAGAGAGACCAGAGAGGGAGACCAGAGAGGGAGACCAGAGAGAGACCAGAGAGAGAGACCAGAGAGAGAGACCAGAGAGAGAGACCAGAGGGAGAGACCAGAGGGAGAGACCAGAGGGAGAGACCAGAGAGAGAGACCAGAGAGAGAGACCAGAGAGAGAGACCAGAGAGGGAGACCAGAGAGGGAGACCAGAGAGGGAGACCAGAGAGGGAGACCAGAGAGGGAGACCAGAGAGAGACCAGAGAGAGAGACCAGAGAGAGAGACCAGAGAGGGAGACCAGAGAGGGAGACCAGAGAGGGAGACCAGAGAGAGAGACCAGAGAGAGAGACCAGAGAGAGAGACCAGAGAGAGAGACCAGAGAGAGAGACCAGAGAGAGAGACCAGAGAGAGAGACCAGAGAGAGAGACCAGAGAGAGAGACCAGAGAGGGAGACCAGAGAGAGAGACCAGAGAGAGAGACCAGAGAGAGAGACCAGAGAGAGAGACCAGAGAGAGAGACCAGAGAGAGAGACCAGAGAGAGAGACCAGAGAGAGAGACCAGAGAGGGAGACCAGAGAGGGAGACCAGAGAGGGAGACCAGAGAGGGAGACCAGAGGGAGAGACCAGAGGGAGAGACCAGAGGGAGAGACCAGAGAGAGAGACCAGAGAGAGAGACCATAATTGTTGCCAGAATCACAACTCGACATATAAAATCCAATAATACTGACACGGATGACTTCAACTAGCTCGAGCTAACACACACACACAGACACACACACACTTACACACACACACACACTTATAGACACACACACGCACTTATACACACACACACGCACTTATACACACACACACGCACTTATACACACACACACGCACGTACACACACACACACACACACTTACACGCACACACACACACACACACACTTACACGCACACACACACGTTTAGGGTTTTGTCGCAGTGTGTGTGTTTGCCTGTGACCTTCCTGGGCCACCGTAGACATAAGCTCATCGAGAGGCCTTTTATAATCGGCACTTTTGAACTTCCGGATCCGCTCTGGGAACGCTGAAGCCGCCGCCCGCACCTTACCTTTTCTTTCTGTTTCCCGCGACGACAAAGGGGAAGCCCGGAGAACCACTGTTGTCATCCCTGAGACGGGAGCGGATTCGGAGCTTGTAAATATCTGGACCAAACTTAGACTTAAACACTCTTTCATCCCAAATATTCAAAGTGAAAGTGAAAGTGCTCATTCCCGACGCGGAGAAGGATCCTCGTCCTGTGGCAGAAGGCGGCGGCGGCCTCTGAACGGTCGGACGCTTGAATGTACGCCACGAGAGGAAGGAAACGAACTGCTTCAGAACTGTCTTTTATTGTTTTTCTGTGGATTGTAAAAATGCTGTTCCCTGCGGCGACAGGGCGCTGCGGCGACAGGGCGCTGCGGCGACAGGGCGCTGCGGCGACAGGGCGCTGCGGCGACAGGACAGGGCGCTGCGGCGACAGGGCGCTGCGGCGACAGGGCGCTGCGGCGACAGGGCGCTGCGGCGACAGGGCGCTGCGGCGACAGGGCGCTGCTCTGGAGAACATCCTATATTTTGATAGACATTGATAATAGCCATATTTCACCATCAAAGGTCATTCCATGTTACCACTTTCTCCACAGAAGTATTTTTGTTACTTTGTACATGTGTCTGGGAGGAAGTACTTTCAATCATTCCTGGAGGTTACAGCATTTTCTATTCTAATAGTTACCATTACTGTCAGTTTGGAGATTTATTTTTTCAATACAAGCCTTAACTAGATTTCATGTCTTACCATTTTTGAAAAAATGTCTTAAAGTCAATTTTTAATGTTGATCATTTAGTTGTTACTTTTACAGAGCCTGTACCTGTCGTGTTATCCAGAGAAACAGCTTACGTGTTGTTGCTAATGTGGCTAAGTCGGGCTAACCATGGCGAAGTCTTTCACCTGTGGCTAATTATTGTTACTCTACTATAGCTAACTCTTGCTACAGTGGCTAACTCTAGCTAACTCTTGCTGATGTGGAGAACTTCGGCTTTCTCTCACTAATATGGCCAATGTAGCTCTTGCTAATGCTGGGACCTTGAGTTAAATCATGCTATTGTGGCCTGAGTTAGCCTCATCAGCTAGATTTAGCATTGTGCTAACGATGGCTCATGCTGCGTTCCAGTAAAGTGGGAGGTTTTGAACTCGGAGCTGGTGTCTTCAAGTTCTAAGTTCATTCCAGTCAGAAGTTGGAAAAGCTGACGACCAATTAGGTCTTGAAGAAACATCGTCATCGTACTAATAAAGTGATTTGAATTATTGTTAAAAAAGCAACAAAATAAACAATACAGATTTCCTCTGCACTGCTTTAGTCACAAAAAACACATTTTTACGATTGTCCTTGAACACTCCACGACAGCCATGTTCCCACAGACCTCAGAGTCACTGAAGCGCCTGGTCCTCAGAGTCAGAACACTACATGTCTCTCTCTCCATCTCTGGTCTCTCTCTCTTTCTGGTCTCTCTCTTTCTGGTCTCTCTCTGGTCTCTCTCTGGTCTCTCTCTGGTCTCTCTCTATCTCTGGTCTCTCTCTCTTTCTGGTCTCTCTCTGGTCTCTCTCTCTTTCTGGTCTCTCTCTGGTCTCTCTCTCTTTCTGGTCTCTCTCTGGTCTCTCTCTCTCTCTGGTCTCTCTCTCTTTCTGGTCTCTCTCTGGTCTCTCTCTTTCTGGTCTCTCTCTGGTCTCTCTCTTTCTGGTCTCTCTCTGGTCTCCCTCTATCTCTGGTCTCTCTCTATCTCTGGTCTCTCTCTCTTTCTGGTCTCTCTCTCTTTCTGGTCTCTCTCTGGTCTCTCTCTCTCGTCTCTCTCTATCTCTGGTCTCTCTCTCTTTCTGGTCTCTCTCTCTTTCTGGTCTCTCTCTGGTCTCTCTCTCTCGTCTCTCTCTCTCTCTGGTCTCCCTCTCTGGTCTCTCTCTCTTTCTGGTCTATCTCTGGTCTCTCTCTCTCTCTGGTCTCTCTCTCTGGTCTCTCTCTCTGGTCTCTCTCTCCATCTCTGGTCTCTCTCTCTGGTCTCTCCCACCATTCACACACACACCAGACTCATTCTAATGTGGGTGAAGTGTCTTGCCTAAAGACACAACCTCAGTTTGGCACTTTACAGCCGCAGCCGCCCCACTGCAGCTGCTGTTCCCAGAGGTCTCCCATCACAGAACTCCATCCATCCATCCATTTTCTTCCCCTTAATCCATTTCTGGGTCGGGGGGGTGGCAGTCAGAGCTGCACCCAGTCACAGAGCACCAGCCCCTCACTGATCCTCCTGCAGGTGGTGAGTCCACAGGAGCTGAGATCTTTCAGTGGGAGCTTCAGGCAAAGTGGGGTTAAGTGTCTTGCCCAAGGACACAATGACAGCAGTCATCAGTGGGAGTCGTGAAGTAGGTCTTACGGTGGGCTCGAACCCACGACCTTCAGGCCCAAAGGCCAATGCTCTACCAACTGAGCCACCCAGAACCAGTAAATACAGTAGTATCACAGGTACAGACAGTAGTATCACAGGTACAGACAGTAGTATCACAGGTACAGACAGTAGTATCACAGGTAAAGACAGTAGTATCACAGGTAAATACAGTAGTATCACAGGTACAGACAGTAGTATCACAGGTAAATACAGTAGTATCACAGGTAAATACAGTAGTATCACAGGTACAGACAGTAGTATCACAGGTACAGACAGTAGTATCACAAGTAAAGACAGTAGTATCACAGGTAAATACAGTAGTATCACAGGTACAGACAGTAGTATCACAGGTACAGACAGTAGTATCACAAGTAAAGACAGTAGTATCACAGGTAAATACAGTAGTATCACAGGTACAGACAGTAGTATCACAGGTACAGACAGTAGTATCACAAGTAAAGACAGTAGTATCACAGGTACAGACAATAGTATCACAAGTAAAGACAGTAGTATCACAGGTACAGACAGTATCACAAGTAAAGACAGTAGTATCACAGGTAAATACAGTAGTATCACAGGTAAAGACAGTAGTATCACAGGTACAGACAGTAGTATCACAAGTACAGACAGTAGTATCACAAGTAAAGACAGTAGTATCACAGGTAAATACAGTAGTATCACAGGTACAGACAGTAGTATCACAGGTACAGACAGTAGTATCACAAGTAAAGACAGTAGTATCACAGGTAAATACAGTAGTATCACAGGTACAGACAGTAGTATCACAGGTACAGACAATAGTATCACAAGTAAAGACAGTAGTATCACAGGTACAGACAGTAGTATCACAAGTAAAGACAGTAGTATCACAGGTAAATACAGTAGTATCACAGGTAAAGACAGTAGTATCACAGGTACAGACAGTAGTATCACAAGTAAAGACAGTAGTATCACAGGTAAATACAGTAGTATCACAGGTACAGACAGTAGTATCACAGGTACAGACAGTAGTATCACAAGTAAAGACAGTAGTATCACAGGTACAGACAATAGTATCACAAGTAAAGACAGTAGTATCACAGGTACAGACAGTAGTATCACAAGTAAAGACAGTAGTATCACAGGTAAATACAGTAGTATCACAGGTAAAGACAGTAGTATCACAGGTACAGACAGTAGTATCACAAGTAAAGACAGTAGTATCACAGGTAAATACAGTAGTATCACAAGTAAAGACAGTAGTATCACAGGTACAGACAGTATCACAAGTAAAGACAGTAGTATCACAGGTACAGACAGTAGTATCACAAGTAAAGACAGTAGTATCACAGGTACAGACAATAGTATCACAACTAAAGACAGTAGTATCACAGGTACAGACAGTAGTATCACAAGTAAAGACAGTATCACAGGTACAGACAATAGTAGTCAGAACAAATGCCCATATAAGGAAACTGGCTCCAGCTTATGTTCAAATCAGTATCAAGGCTGGGACTGTGATGTCACACTGTGGTGATGTCACACTGTGGTGATGTCACACTGTGGTGATGTCACACTCTCTGAAACACCTTCACATTTCTGACATTTCTGTGTTTCTCTTCATCATATTCAACTCCTCCTCCTGCTCTTCCTCCTCCTGCTCTTCCTCCTCCTGCTCTTCCTCCTCCTGCTCTTCCTCCTCCTGCTCTTCCTCCTCCTGCTCTTTCTCTTCCTGCTCTTTCTCTTCCTGCTCTTCCTCCTCCTGCTCTTCCTCCTCCTGCTTTTTCTCCTCCTGCTCTTCCTCCTCCTGCTCTTCATCCTCCTGCTCTTCCTCCTCCTGCTCTTCCTCTTGAAAGTTAAAGCACACAGAGTTTAAAGGACGCGCTGTTGTTCCCCTGTGGTCTGTCTCCTGGACTGTGGTGTCAGGCTGCAGTACCGTGCTCCACCACCAGCTGCAGTACCGTGCTCCACCACCAGCTGCAGTACCGTGCTCCACCACCAGCTGCAGTACCGTGCTCCACCACCAGCTGCAGTACCGTGCTCCACCACCAGCTGCAGTACCGTGCTCCACCACCAGCTGCAGTACCATGCTCCACCACCAGCTGCAGTACCATGCTCCACCACCAGCTGCAGTACCGTGCTCCACCACCAGCTGCAGTACCGTGCTCCACCACCAGCTGCAGTACCGTGCTCCACCACCAGCTGCAGTACCAGTGCTCCACCACCAGCTGCAGTACCATGCTCCACCACCAGCTGCAGTACCGTGCTCCACCACCAGCTGCAGTACCATGCTCCACCACCAGCTGCAGTACCGTGCTCCACCACCAGCTGCAGTACCGTGCTCCACCACCAGCTGCAGTACCGTGCTCCACCACCAGCTGCAGTACCGTGCTCCACCACCAGCTGCAGTACCGTGCTCCACCACCAGCTGCAGTACCGTGCTCCACCACCAGCTGCAGTACCGTGCTCCACCACCAGCTGCAGTACCGTGCTCCACCACCAGCTGCAGTACCGTGCTCCACCACCAGCTGCAGTACCGTGCTCCACCACCAGCTGCAGTACCGTGCTCCACCACCAGCTGCAGTACCGTGCTCCACCACCAGCTGCAGTACCGTGCTCCACCACCAGCTGCAGTACCGTGCGCCACCACCAGCTGCAGTACCGTGCTCCACCACCAGCTGCAGTACCGTGCGCCACCACCAGCTGCAGTACCGTGCTCCACCACCAGCTGTAGTACCGTGCTCCACCACCAGCTGCAGTACCGTGCTCCACCAGCTGCAGTACCATGCTCCACCACCAGCTGCAGTACCATGCTCCACCACCAGCTGCAGTACCATGCTCCACCACCAGCTGCAGTACCGTGCTCCACCACCAGCTGCAGTACCGTGCTCCACCACCAGCTGCAGTACCGCGCTCCACCAGCTGCAGTAACATGCTCCACCACCAGCTGCAGTACCATGCTCCACCACCAGCTGCAGTACCGTGCTCCACCACCAGCTGCAGTACCATGCTCCACCACCAGCTGCAGTACCATGCTCCACCACCAGCTGCAGTACCGTGCTCCACCACCAGCTGCAGTACCGTGCTCCACCACCAGCTGCAGTACCATGCTCCACCATCAGCTGCAGTACCGTGCTCCACCAGCTGCAGTACCGTGCTCCACCACCAGCTGCAGTACCATGCTCCACCACCAGCTGCAGTACCATGCTCCACCACCAGCTGCAGTACCGTGCTCCACCACCAGCTGCAGTACCATGCTCCACCAGCTGCAGTACCGTGCTCCACCACCAGATGGAGATTGGCTTCAGCAGCAACACCAGATAATATAATGCATCCGTAGTGGTTAGCTATGCTGCTAAGTGAACAGCAAAAACTCTTAAAACAAAGAGGACAGAAAATGGGTTTTTAAATGTTTAGCTTTAGCATTAGGATTAGCATTAGCTTTAGCTTTAGCCTGGACCCGGAACTGCGTTGTCACTCCCGTATTCGTCCCGGAAACCGGATTCGTCCGGAAGTTCAGTTTGATCCAATGATCATACGCAGCAGTAGATTACGTCACGGAATCTGGACGGAAGCGGAAGTAAATATAACAAACTATCTATTCATGCCTAAACTTAACCATCTTACTCAGACCACCTTAACCCTAACCTTAACCATCTTACTCAGACCACCTTAACCCTAACCTTAACCATCTTACTCAGACCACCTTAACCCTCAGACCACCTTAACCCTAACCTTAAAGGCACACCGTGTAACTCTTGGCCACTAGGGGCGCTAGACCTGCAACTTTCACGTTTAGCGCCCCTAGTGGCCACAAGCAACTCAGCACTGTCGCAAAAGTCAAACAGTGGGCCGGTGTCTTTTGAGTGTGTATTCAGACAGCATGCACTGGTGTGTGTGTTCAAACTGTAGAGACATGCCTACAGATATTGAGAGACTCTGCTGTGGTCAGCCTCCAGACCGCTGCATTAGTAATCTACCACACATGGACTTCTATATCCTGGATGAGGGAGTTCTGCGTCTAGCTCGTGCTGCGTGGAATGACATCTTTGCGGTCGATGACATCCAGGAACCAGGTGAAGAGCAGCGCTCATACAGACATGCAGCTTACAGCACAATCCCTTTCGCGTTTCCTCTTTTTAGCCTCCTCCGAAGGTTTAAAATTTTTCCTTGCCTCAGCCATGACCAGGAGTCGAGCAGGTGAAAAATGAGTAGCAAAAGCCTTAGCTCCATGAGTATATCAGCGCCTGTAGCCGTAAAGCAAGTCTTTCTTCCAAGTCACGTGACCTGGTGGCAGACGGTCCGTCTGCTCGAAACTTACATGGGCGGTATTTCAAGAGGGCAGCCCCGCTCGGAGCATTGCAAGTGTCAAGCGCTGTATATTGGCCCAAGTATTCATATAAAATAACTCATATGTGTCAACTCTTTAGGTCACAAAGTCCGCGGTGTGCCTTTAACCATCTTACTCAGACCACCTTAACCCTAACCTTAACCATCTTACTCAGACCACCTTAACCCTAACCTTAACCATCTTACTCAGACCACCTTAACCCTAACCTTAACCATCTTACTCAGACCCACCTTAACCCTAACCTTAACCATCTTACTCAGACCACCTTAACCCTAACCTTAACCATCTTACTCAGACCACCTTAACCCTAACCTTAACCATCTTACTCAGACCACCTTAACCCTAACCTTAACCATCTTACTCAGACCACCTTAACCCTAACCTTAACCATCTTACTCAGACCACCTTAACCCTAACCTTAACCATCTTACTCAGACCACCTTAACCCTAACCTTAACCATCTTACTCAGACCACCTTAACCCTAACCTTAACCATCTTACTCAGACCACCTTAACCCTAACCTTAACCAAAACTTAACCAGTCTCCACTTAAGGACATATTAAACTTTTTGACATGTGCAAACTGAACTTCTGGACGAATCCGGGAGTGACACCGTCGTTCTGTCCATGTGTCTGCACCAGGAGCCCCACACTGGGATCAACATGTAAACGTCATGCTAACAGTATGTAGCCTGTGATGATGGTCCTGACAGCTCACTTCCGGGTGTGATGTCACACAGTGTGATGTCACACAGCGTTCTGTTGATGCTACAGCGGAGCCGGATTTTCTCCAAATCTGTGACTTTTCAGTAAAATCTTTATCACTTGTTTCTGTCGTTTCTTTGCATTCACAAACCACACCATCTACGAACACATGTGACGTCACAATCACAGGTTTATTTTTTGTCCTGTATTTATAATATTTATTTTTTTAATCTTAAAAACCTTTACTATGACTTCCGGTGACGTCATGATAAGTGGTGGTGGTAGTTTCCCATAGATCTTTGAGAGTTTCCCATAGATCTTTGAGAGTTTCATAGATCTTTGAGAGTTTCTCATAGATCTTTGAGAGTTTCTCATAGATCTTTGAGAGTTTCCCATAGATCTTTGAGAGTTTCTCATAGATCTTTGAGAGTTTCCCATAGATCTTTGAGAGTTTCCCATAGATCTTTGAGAGTTTCATAGATCTTTGAGAGTTTCCCATAGATCTTTGAGAGTTTCCCATAGATCTTTGAGAGTTTCATAGATCTTTGAGAGTTTCCCATAGATCTTTGAGAGTTTCCCATAGATCTTTGAGAGTTCTCATAGATCTTTGAGAGTTTCATAGATCTTTGAGAGTTTCTCATAGATCTTTGAGAGTTTCTCATAGATCTTTGAGAGTTTCATAGATCTTTGAGAGTTTCTCATAGATCTTTGAGAGTTTCATAGATCTTTGAGAGTTTCTCATAGATCTTTGAGAGTTTCTCATAGATCTTTGAGAGTTTCTCATAGATCTTTGAGAGTTTCATAGATCTTTGAGAGTTTCCCATAGATCTTTGAGAGTTTCTCATAGATCTTTGAGAGTTTCCCATAGATCTTTGAGAGTTTCTCATAGATCTTTGAGAGTTTCCCATAGATCTTTGAGAGTTTCCCATAGATCTTTGAGAGTTTCATAGATCTTTGAGAGTTTCCATAGATCTTTGAGAGTTCTCATAGATCTTTGAGAGTTTCCCATAGATCTTTGAGAGTTTCCCATAGATCTTTGAGAGTTTCCCATAGATCTTTGAGAGTTTCCCATAGATCTTTGAGAGTTTCCCATAGATCTTTGAGAGTTTCCCATAGATCTTTGAGAGTTTCCCATAGATCTTTGAGAGTTTCCCATAGATCTTTGAGAGTTTTCATAGATCTTTGAGAGTTTCTCATAGATCTTTGAGAGTTTCTCATAGATCTTTGAGAGTTTCTCATAGATCTTTGAGAGTTTCATAGATCTTTGAGAGTTTCATAGATCTTTGAGAGTTTCCCATAGATCTTTGAGAGTTTCATAGATCTTTGAGAGTTTCCCATAGATCTTTGAGAGTTTCATAGATCTTTGAGAGTTTCATAGATCTTTGAGAGTTTCCCATAGATCTTTGAGAGTTTCTCATAGATCTTTGAGAGTTTCATAGATCTTTGAGAGTTTCCCATAGATCTTTGAGAGTTTCCCATAGATCTTTGAGAGTTTCCCATAGATCTTTGAGAGTTTCCCATAGATCTTTGAGAGTTTCCCATAGATCTTTGAGAGTTTCCCATAGATCTTTGAGAGTTTCATAGATCTTTGAGAGTTTCCCATAGATCTTTGAGAGTTTCCCATAGATCTTTGAGAGTTTCCCATAGATCTTTGAGAGTTTCTCATAGATCTTTGAGAGTTTCTCATAGATCTTTGAGAGTTTCCCATAGATCTTTGAGAGTTTCCCATAGATCTTTGAGAGTTTCCCATAGATCTTTGAGAGTTTCCCATAGATCTTTGAGAGTTTCCCATAGATCTTTGAGAGTTTCCCAGAGATCTTTGCGAGTTCCAGGCGAGTTCCGCTAATCTTTCAGCCCGGCACAAAGCGCCACTGCACTGTAAAAAATACAACTCAAAATTGTTCACCTTACTAAGATTTTTGCATTCACTGACAATAAAATTGCCAGTTGGAACTCTGTTGTGAGCCACTTGAACTCACTTTCAGAAGTTTCTCATGAAAGTTCATCTTATTTGATATATTAAGTTGATTTTACTTTGAAGTTGTAGTGAACTCCTGAAAGTGAGTTCCAGAGGCTCACAACAGACAGTTCCAGAGGCTCACAACAGACGGTTCCAGAGACTCACAACAGACAGTTCCAGAGGCTCACAACAGACAGTTCCAGAGGCTCACAACAGACGGTTCCAGAGACTCACAACAGACAGTTCCAGAGGCTCACAACAGACAGTTCCAGAGGCTCACAACAGACGGTTCCAGAGGCTCACAACAGACAGTTCCAGAGGCTCACAACAGACGGTTTTATTGTCAGTGAATGCAAAAATCTGGTGAACAATTTTGAGTTGTCATTTTTACAGTTCACCGAGCTAGAATGAGGTCAACTTATCTGCGTTTGCTCATTTAAATATTTGTCATGGCAACCGGCTGCATTCAACATTTTGAAAAAACTAATTTGACAAAAAAAATCATTGTATTTATTTTTACCAACCGTATTTGACAGGGCCAAGACAAAGTAGCCCTGGATATTCCCTGGGTCAGTCTTAGAAACATTAGTATGGGTTACATAGGGTCTTTCTGAAGGGAATTTGCATGTTCTCTGTGTCTGCATAGGTTTCCTCCAGGTGCTCCGGTCTCCCCTGCCCAAGTGACCTTGGTCTGTAAAATGCGCTATATAAATAAACATCATGATGGTTTAATGAGGGGGCTAATTTAAACTCAAAATAGTAAGTTTTTGTAGGGGACGGGTCAGACGGGTTTTTTGACCTCAAAAAAGTAAGTTTTTACAGACTTGAAATGTCCAGTAACTTGAATTTAAAAACTTAGTTGGCAGAACTTGGAAAACTTAGCTGACACAACTTAATAAGTGTAGTTCTTCAAACTGTGAAGACTTAAGTTAATGCCTTCAACTCAAAAATCCTTCGCAGCTGGTTGCTTTGAAACTCTGAGTTGAACTAACTTTTTCTTTTTTACAGTGTCGTTTCTTTCTATCAATCCACTCCAACATATGATTTATGTTTTATGTCGTGTCCATTCCTATTTGGAAACACATGAGAACTACTGGGTTTAAGTTTCCCACAGTATTAAACAAACTGGATAGATCATTGACTGCATCTTTAATCGATAATTATCCATACACCGGTCTAACCATTCGCTGTCTCACGATTACAAAGTTATGACCCAGAAACACAGGAAGTCCATAAAACACTGCCTTTTATGGTTTGTTCTTATCTGAAAATAACTGCTGCATGTGGCGCCCACGACTGACTCCAGATGTACATACGGTTTGTGTGTGTGTGTAGTGTAGTGTGTGTGTGTGTGTGTGTGTGTGTGTAGTGTGTGTGTGTGTGTAGTGTAGTGTGTGTGTGTAGTGTGTGTGTGTGTGTAGTGTAGTGTGTGTGTGTAGTGTAGTGTGTGTGTGTGTGTAGTGTAGTGTGTGTGTAGTGTAGTGTGTGTGTGTGTGTGTGTAGTGTGTGTGTGTGTTGTGTGTGTAGTATGTGTAATGTTGTGTGTGTAGTGTAGTATGTGTAATGTTGTGTGTGTGTAGTGTAGTATGTGTAATGTTGTGTGTGTAGTGTGTGTGTGTGTAGTGTAGTATGTGTAATGTTGTGTGTGTGTAGTGTAGTATGTGTAATGTTGTGTGTGTAGTGTGTGTGTGTGTGTAGTGTAGTATGTGTAATGTTGTGTGTGTAGTGTGTGTGTGTGTGTAGTGTAGTATGTGTAATGTTGTGTGTGTGTAGTGTAGTATGTGTAATGTTGTGTGTGTAGTGTGTGTGTGTGTGTGTAGTATGTGTAATGTTGTGTGTGTAGTGTAGTATGTGTAATGTTGTGTGTGTAGTGTAGTATGTGTAATGTAGTGTGTGTGTGTAGTATGTGTAATGTAGTGTGTGTAGTGTGTGTTGTGTGTGTGTAGTGTGTGTGTGTGTGTAGTGTAGTATGTGTAATGTAGTGTGTGTGTGTTGTGTGTGTGTGTAGTATGTGTAATGTAGTGTGTGTTGTGTGTGTGTAGTGTGTGTGTGTGTGTAGTGTAGTATGTGTAATGTTGTGTGTGTGTAGTGTGTGTGTGTTGTGTGTGTAGTGTAGTATGTGTAATGTTGTGTGTGTAGTGTGTGTTGTGTGTGTGTAGTGTGTGTGTGTGTGTAGTGTAGTATGTGTAATGTTGTGTGTGTGTAGTGTGTGTGTGTGTGTAGTGTAGTATGTGTAATGTTGTGTGTGTAGTGTGTGTGTGTTGTGTGTGTGTGTAGTGTGTTGTGTGTGTAGTGTGTGTGTGTTGTGTGTGTAGTATGTGTAATGTTGTGTGTGTAGTGTGTGTGTAGTGTGTGTTGTGTGTGTGTAGTGTGTGTGTGTGTGTGTGTGTAGTGTAGTATGTGTAATGTTGTGTGTGTAGTGTGTGTTGTGTGTGTAGTGTAGTATGTGTAATGTTGTGTGTGTAGTGTGTGTGTGTAGTGTAGTATGTGTAATGTTGTGTGTGTAGTGTGTGTGTGTGTAGTGTAGTATGTGTATGTGTGTGTGTGTGTGTGTGTGTGTGTGTAGTGTGTGTAGTATGTGTAATGTTTGTGTGTGTGTGTGTGTGTGTGTGTGTGTGTGTGTGTGTGTGTGTAGTGTAGTATGTGTAATGTTGTGTGTGTGTAGTGTGTGTGTGTGTGTGTGTAGTGTGTGTGTAGTGTAGTATGTGTAATGTTGTGTGTGTGTAGTGTGTGTGTGTTGTGTGTGTAGTATGTGTAATGTTGTGTGTGTAGTGTGTGTGTAGTATGTGTAATGTTGTGTGTGTAGTGTGTGTGTGTGTGTGTAGTATGTGTAATGTTGTGTGTGTAGTGTGAGTGTGTAGTGTAGTATGTGTAATGTTGTGTGTGTAGTGTGTGTGTGTTGTGTGTGTAGTATGTGTAATGTTGTGTGTGTGTGTAGTGTATGTGTGTATGTGTATGTGTGTGTGTGTGTGTGTGTAGTATGTGTAATGTGTTGTGTGTGTGTGTGTGTGTAGTATGTGTAATGTTGTGTGTGTGTGTAGTGTGTGTGTAGTGTGTAATGTTGTGTGTGTAGTGTGTGTGTAGTATGTGTAATGTTGTGTGTGTAGTGTGTGTGTAGTATGTGTAATGTTGTGTGTGTAGTGTGTGTGTGTAGTGTAGTATGTGTAATGTTGTGTGTGTAGTGTGTGTAATGTAGTGTGTGTGTGTTGTGTGTGTAGTGTAGTATGTGTAATGTTGTGTGTGTAGTGTGTGTAATGTAGTGTGTGTGTGTTGTGTGTGTAGTGTAGTATGTGTAATGTTGTGTGTGTGTGTAGTGTGTGTGTGTAGTGTGTGTAATGTTGTGTGTGTAGTGTGTTGTGTGTGTAGTATGTGTAATGTTGTGTTGCGTCACTGGTTACAGAACAGTAGAATGAGGAGCATAATAAAGAAGAATCTCTAATAACGTTTCAAATAAACTAATCCTAATCCAATCCAAACTGGACACACACACGGGGAAATTTAATCCAATCCAAACTGGACACACACACGGGGAAGTTTAATCCAATCCAAACTGGACACACACACGGGGAAATTTAATCCAATCCAAACTGGACACACACACGGGGAAGTTTAATCCAATCCAAACTGGACACACACACGGGGAAGTTTAATCCAATCCAAACTGGACACACACACGGGGAAGTTTAATCCAATCCAAACTGGACACACACACGGGGAAGTTTAATCCAATCCAAACTGGACACACACACGGGGAAGTTTAATCCAATCCACTTTAAAACATGTGACATATTTAGAATCAATAATAATACATCAAACTTCTATAGCGCTGTTTTGGACACTCAAAGGCGCTTTACACATGAAATAAACATTGAGAAATAAAATTAGGGAAAGGCTGAAACAGGAGAGATTTAAAGTTCTGTAGTGAGTCTTCAAATCCAACGAGGGAGGGGTCTTGAGGTCTTAGAAATATACCGATGTATAAATGTATTTTGTTCATATCTTTGGGATATTATTCTCTTGTTCTCTGCAGGAGACCAAGCTGCAAAGTTCAATGGAGGAGCCGGTGCTTTGGTCAACGGCTACAAAGGTGACGTAGGACCTGAGAATGCTAACGCTAACGCTAACACTAACCCTGACGCTAACCCTGACCCCTGATCCTTAACCCTAACCCTGACGCTAACCCTTTACCTTCTGAAATGTCGAGTTTTAAAGTTTTAAAGTCGAGTCTTGATTCCAGGCTGATTCCAGGCTGATTCCAGACTGATCCCAGGCTGATCCCAGGCTGATTCCAGACTGATTCCAGGCTGATCCCAGGCTGATTCCAGACTGATTCCAGACGGATTCCAGGCTGATCCCTGGCTGATCCCAGGCTGATTCCAGGCTGATTCCAGGCTGATTCCAGGCTGATCCCAGGCTGATCCCAGGCTGATCCCAGGCTGATTCCAGGCTGATTCCAGGCTGATCCCAGGCTGATTCCAGACTGATCCCAGGCTGATCCCAGGCTGATTCCAGACTGATTCCAGGCTGATCCCAGGCTGATTCCAGACTGATTCCAGACTGATTCCAGACTGATCCCCGGCTGATCCCAGGCTGATTCCAGGCTGATTCCAGGCTGATTCCAGGCTGATCCCAGGCTGATCCCAGGCTGATCCCAGGCTGATTCCAGGCTGATTCCAGGCTGATCCCAGGCTGATTCCAGACTGATCCCAGGCTGATCCCAGGCTGATCCCAGACTGATTCCAGACTGATCCCAGGCTGATCCCAGGCTGATTCCAGACTGATTCCAGACTGATTCCAGGCTGATTCCAGGCTGATTCCAGACTGATCCCAGGCTGATTCCAGACTGATTCCAGGCTGATTCCAGGCTGATTCCAGACTGATCCCAGGCTGATTCCAGGCTGATTCCAGGCTGATTCCAGACTGATCCCAGACTGATTCCAGGCTGATTCCAGGCTGATCCCAGGCTGATCCCAGACTGATCCCAGGCTGATCCCAGGCTGATTCCAGACTGATTCCAGACTGATCCCAGACTGATTCCAGGCTGATTCCAGACTGATCCCAGGCTGATCCCGACTGATTCCAGACTGATTCCAGACTGATTCCAGACTGATTCCAGACTGACTTTATACTGTATGTAGTGACTATTTGTCAAAAAATAGACTATCAAACCAAATGTAACCAAACTTAAGAACAAACTCAAATAATCACTAGAATGCACCATGGGTAAGTGGTTTACACAGTACAAAAAATAAACAATTGTCCATTCCAAAAAATGTAAAGTTCAAAACGGGTTTATTCATCAAGTTGCAGCAAACAACACAAAAATGCTGCATCTCCCAGAACTGGTAAAAACCCATAGGCCCACCCAGGTGCATGAAGGCCCGCCCTGTACTGCCCCCTTATATCCCCTAGGTGCCACTAAACCAAAAAACTAAACCGAACTGAAGTAAACCCAAAATAATCTACAAAAATATCTAAATTACCAAAAAACTAAAATACTAACCTCAGCAAAAAATTACTAAATATTGAAAAATATACAAAACCCCAAATAATTAAATCAATCAAGCAAATAGCTCCTACACTCCAGCCCCTAATTGTGCATAAAATCACAATTACTAACTGCACTAAGGAGCTATTCTGACCATGTCAGTGTTATCTATGTGTAAGTGTATTAGCCTTAAGTGAGCTTTCCTTCTTAAACCTGAAATAAACAAAGATAGAGCAAGATGAAGAGAAAGATCGAAACTTTGGTCAAGAGTCCGAAGCCGCTTCCAACAGCAGGCAGAGCTGGGTCACTGGTCTTTCCAACACACTGGTTTTGGTCTGGAGCTGCACAGTACGAACTAGGCCTTTTGAGTCAGTGTTGACTGCCAGGACTCTTCCCATCAGCCAGCATCCTCTAGGGGCAGTGGCATCAGCAACCAAAACTAGGAACACGCTGTGAGTACAGGTTAAAGTCCTGTTTTGTGCAAAGGTTCAAGTCCTGATTGCTGATAAGGGCAGAGTTCGAGTCTCTGTTTGTATATCTGAGTTAGACTCAGAGTCCAGCCATGTGGCTTAGGAGAAAACGCACAGAGTCACCAGTTTGGGACGCCCCATGCATGACTTTTATGACTAAGAAACATGGTGATGGTTTTAGGGCATGCGTTGAAATGTGGGTGGCTGAATTAGGTTTTCCCAAAAATGGGTCCTTCAGTTTGAACCAGTTGAACAAAATCAAATCACAATTGTATGACAGAGAGTTTCTAATGAGGAAAGGCAGGACTGTGCGTGTGAAAGACCTGAACTGTCTGGATGAGAACAAACGGTGGTTGAATGTGTGGATGGCAGAGGCAAAGCTTAGGGACAGCAAACAGAAAAAGTCTGACTCTATAGAATGTGTAGGATCTGCGACTGACTCTTCTCCATCTGCTTCTTTTTCGAGCATACCACCGATCCCACGTCAATACGACCGTAGGAACTCCAGAGATGATTGGAACCCGCTGTACCCCGCTCTCTCACCCCCACCACCCGAGTATCAACCAGAAGCCGGACCGACGGCACCTGCAGCAGCAGCAGCACCAGCAGCAGCAGCACCAGCAGCAGCAGCGACGGCCCCCCTCCTTTCACCCGCTCCGGAGGCTTCTGCGTCAGCCCCTCCCCTCCTGTCTGGAGCAACACACAGAGGCACAGCTCCTGCTGAGATTCAAAATGTGACTCACGGAATGGACAAAATCACTTTAAATGACGATGGCATGACGCTGAGAGATGGAAAGATTTTACAAGCACCTATGATAGAATATCCAGGCCCGCAAGGCGCCCCCGTTCTGGTTCTGCGTCAAATGGATCAGGAGATGAAAGAATCTGTCAAAGACTGGCCTTCCCCACACCGCGGAGGTGATTCAATGGCAGACGCATTTCTGGCCTTCTGCAAAGCGTGGCGTCCTACGGGCGCTGAAGTTAAAAAGCTTCTCCTCCTGTATTTGAAACCGGAGGGCTTCGCCAAGATAGAGCCGGCGGTCCATCGCCAGAATTATGAGACTCTGAGGGCTCTGCAAGCGGAGTGGACGGAGGCGAATGCATGGGAGACATATATTGTCAACATAGTGACAGCTCTCAAGCGTGCGTTCCCAGTGAAATTTGATATGGGAAAGATTAAAGACTGTTCTCAAAAGACAAGTGAGTCAGTTGTGGACTTTTATCATCGTCTTGAGGATGTGTGCGTTGCCCACTCTGGTAGTCAAAAGCCAGAGAATTACACTGCCGCAGCTGAGACCACATTCGAGGTGATCTTTAAGATGGCGTTCTGCGAGGGCCTTCCCCAACCGATCCAAGCCGCACTAAAACAGACTTTGGTCGGGGGCTGGCAGGACAATCGCATCCAAGAAATCCTCAGACACGCAAAGCATGCTGAAATAAAGAACACTGAGGAGAACGCTGTGAAAGCTGGCGCGCAGGAGAAGGCCCAACATCAAGCCAATCTCACATTGATCAAAATGACGGGCAGACAATTCCGTCGTGGAGGTCGTGGAGGTAGAGGACGGAGAAGAGGTGGCAACGGACATTTCGAGAACAATCGTGACCACGGACATTTCGAGAACAATCGTGACCACGACGACCAAGACAAATGTTTCAACTGTGGTGAAATTGGACATTGGAATCGTGACTGTCCCCAGCCACGCCGAGATGCGGGACGCTGGAGTGGACGTGGACGGGGTGCGAGACCGGAGGACCAGCAGAGATTTTCTTCAGATTGATGTCTTGTTGACGTGGGATCTGACACAGCACCTGTACAGATGAGTAATGCACACACTCTTACACACAACACACTAACTGCTAACTGCAATGAAGACGCGCTTGCTACTGATTCACTGCTTGGCTTAGTTGAGGATAGAATTAGGGAGTTAGAGAGCGGTGACAGGCCCAACACAGGGACCTACTTGGCTTATGAAAATGAAGCTTACAGGAAAATGCCAACTATTGTTTGTGAAATTGAGGGTAAACCGATCACTTTTTTAGTAGACTCTGGTGCAACCCACAGTGTGATTCAGACAAAGAAGTGTTTTTTCCACAAGTGCGAGTGGACAAACGGTACCGGAATCTTTCTCTGTTCCAATCAAATGCACTTGGGCAAACGAGCATAACCCAGCAACAGCAAAACATTCATTTTTGATGTCTGACCTTTGTCCTGTAAACTTGTTAGGCCGTGATTTAATGATAAAATGGGACGTTGTGATCACATCGACAGCAGAAGGCCTTAAAATAGACAGAGGTGCGTGCGCGACTAATTTTGTCAAAGTAAACACAAACTGTCCTATGTCTGTATATCAGTGGTGGTTTCATACTGCCAGCGCCAGTCATTTGATGGGGGTGGTTTCTCCATTTCTTAATCCAAAATCTGATATATTGAAAGCTGAGGACCTGCATTGTGTGTGTCATTTACACCATGGCCCTGATTGTGAATTTGAAGAAACGTTTAAACTGGGCACAAATGGCTGCTTAATCCTTGCTGACGTGTACTTTGATGATTCCAAGTGTGCTGTTTCAGTAGAGTTAAGCCAGTCACAAAAACAATGCTATCGTCTTGAAAATTCAGGTCCTCATATTTCAATTGCAAAAGCAAAAGCTGACGCATGGCAAACCTTAGGGTTTTTTGTACGCAGATGTACTTTGGCAGAGGATTGGCAGGCGTGTGACCGTGGAGAAAATGTGTTTTATTCACAATCCGTTTGCGCGTATAAAATGTCTCATACGAAGACAGTTGATGTGCTAAATTCAGTGCTTTTGACGTCTTCATATGATGACAATGACGGACCAAATTTGGCTCTGACTTCTTTGACTTCTCCGCTTGAGATTTCACCTTTGTTATCGCAAGTACCGGACAGGCTGTGGGCAAAAAGTAAACATGATGTTGGTTTGATCAAAAACTGTCCACCTGTTCGTATTGAAGCTAAATCTGATTACAGACCAAGACAGCGTCAGTATCCTTTGAGACAGGAGGCCATAGAGGGAATTACACCAGTTTTTGAATCATTTCTTGAGGCTGGCATTATTGTCCCATGTGAGGACTCACCAGTGCAAACTCCTATCTTTCCAGTAAAGAAAATTAGACCAGCAGATAAACCCACAGAGTGGCGTTTTGTACAGGATTTGAAGGCAGTTAATGCTGCAATAATTTCTCCTGTTCCCAATGTACCTAATCCACACACTCTTTTGAGTCAGATACCAGCAGATGCAGAGTGGTTTTCTGTGGTGGACTTGTCAAATGCTTTCTTCTCTGTGCCTGTGGACAGAGATTCACAATTTTGGTTTGCCTTCTGTTTTAATGGGAAAAGATACACTTTCACACGACTTTGTCAGGGCCTAAACTCAAGCCCCTCATTGTTTTGTGAGGCTCTCAATCACAGTATAGCGTCTCTTGTGTTGACAGACGGGACTGTTTTGATTAATTATGTGGATGATTTGATGATTGCTAGCCCCACAAAGGAACAATGTGAAAAGGACACAATTAGGCTTCTCCAACATTTGGCTGATGAGGGTCACAAAGCTTCTGTTTCAAAGTTGCAATTTGTCAAACAAAATGTTGTGTTTTTGGGTCACATTATAACCCCTGAGGGAAAAACCTTGTCACAAAAGCGTGTGACGGCAATAGTTGACACTCCGAAGCCCTCAAACAAAAAGGAACTTCTTTCATTTTTGGGAATGTGCTCATATTGCAGACATTTTATCGCCAATTTTTCTGAGAAAGATAAGCCTTTACGTGATATGACTGTGGGGAGGAACATGTGTGCGTCCTCTCCCCTCGTGTGGACTCCAGAGGCAGAGCAGGCCTTTACAGACTTGAAAATTGCTTTACAATCGGCTCCAACTCTGGGAATCCCAGACCCAAATAAGCCTTTTGTTCAATTTGTGGACGAGAGATGTGGATGCATGACATCAGTACTTTTGCAAAAACATGGAGATCTTCTGAAACCTGTCGGTTATTTTTCAAAACTTCTTGATCCTGTGGCGAGAGGTCTCCCTGCTTGCTTGAGAGCCATCGCTGCGTGTGAAACAGCAGTATTGGCATCACGTGACTTTGTTGGATTCTGCCAGCTTTTCTTGTTTGTTCCACATTCTGTCGCTTTGATACTACAGGAGCAGAAATCTTCACATCTTTCTGCATCTCGGTGGCTCCGATATCATACAACACTCTTGGGATTGCCACATGTGACTGTCCATAAATGTTCTACACTCAATCCTGCCACATTGTTGCCCCTCCCCGGTGAGGGCACACCACACTCATGCATGGCAGAGCTGAATCAGATCTCCAAGACCAGATCTTTCTGATACACCATTGACTAACCCTGATTTAATTCTCTATGTAGATGGATCGGCTTATCGAGACCCGGACACCGGAAGGTCGCATGCTGGATACGCTGTGGTGGACGACCACGCAGTCGTTCTTTCTTCCTCTCTTCCATCGATGTTCTCAGCACAATTGGCAGAGCTCGTGGCGTTGACAAAGGCGTGTGCATACGCAAAGGGACGGTCTGTTACAATATTTACCGATTCCCGCTATGCATTCGGGGTGACGCATGATTTTGGGGCACTGTGGAAACATAGAAACTTTCTAAAATCAGACGGAAAGCCAATTTTACACCACACACATGTTGCAGCATTGTTG